CAGAAAGGGTCTCTCTTTTTCTATCTGCTGGTAAGACTGTCATTTTCCAATTTGTGACAAAGACACTGATAGCCACTCTCTCACATTGGCATAAAAAGTTGAGGGATTTTTACCTTATGGCTAAGCTGATGGACAGTCTTACGCATTTTGATAAGCACTCATCTATATATCTAATAGCCAAGTTGCCCCCTCTGTGTGGATATCTAAATCTGCACTTTGGGGGCACTTGGTGGGCAGAGAGATTTTCCTGTACACTTGGAGCAGTCCCCAGGTGTGCAGAAAAATCTAAAAAGTTGAAAAAATATACGGGGGATATTTAAATCCCCCAAAAGTAAAAGCGCTCCCTGCGCATGCGCAGAGAACGCTCTGGCTGTTGGGGGCGAGGCTCGGCAGGCCCGATGGCTGGGAGCCGCTCGAGCCTCGCCGCTGGTGCCGGGGGGGGGAGCAGGAGAAGGCTCAGCAGGCCCACGCAGCTCGCCGCTGGTGCAGGGGAGAAGGATTGGCAGGCCCGGCAGGAGTTGTGTGTGTCTCGCCACTGGTGCAGGGGGGCGGGGGAAGAAGGACTGGCGGGCCCAGCAGATGGGAGCCGTGCGGACCTCGCCATCAGTGCCAGGGGGGTGGAGGAGAAGGCTCACCTGAGGCTGCTAACTCCTCCTCCTCGTGGAGCTCCTTCTCCCCCCCCACGAGCATCGCGAGTCCCCGCTCCTTGTCACCCTCTAATTTTACCTCTATCTGCTTCCTCATCTTAGAATATTTGACCTCTCAACAGGAAATTCCTAAAGTAATCGATGATTTATGTTTGTGGTAAAACTTTTTTTCTGGCCCCCCAGAGGGGATTTTTTATTGCATTTTTTTAATAGACTACAAACTACAACGAAAAATTAGGAAGGGGTAACTACATCTAGGGAGAAAGGAAAGAAAACCACTAATAATGAAAACCCCAAGAATAGGGGATCATAACAACAGTTTATATAAATGTTAATCTTAAATGGCTAGTATTACTTTGAACATAGTCGGTTATGCTAAATTATTTATCTTTTTATCCACTGATTTTACTGTTTAAGAGAACCCCAAGAGCATCCAATAATAAATCCAAAAATTTAAGGCACAATTCAGAGTCCTTTAGCCTTCATTTTGTTTTATCTTTTCTAATCCTCAATTGATATGCACGTTTGGGTAAAACTGATGCACTAGATATTAAGTTCTGTATCCCAACCTCCATACAGTGATTTTTCTTTTTTACCAGTCTCTGGTTCTTTTATGTACAGTAATCTTGATGTTAAGTTCCATTATATGAGCTGTATAAGCTTGCTGTGTATTTTTGCATTATTTTTGTAATATTTACAAAATTTTAGTAAAAATATTGAGAAAAAAATATATAGCAGGGAGGTTTTTTTGTTTGGGGGGGGGGGGGGCTTCAGGCTTTTTGTCCACTGCCACAGCCCAGAACCCAAAGCAGCCAATCAATCTTCTCTCTCCTTTAAGAACACTAAACAAGCAACACATGCCTCATGGAGATGCCTAAATTCTCACAAGATTCCTTCTTGTAGCAAAAACTCGGTCATCATTTTGGTTGCCTAAGCAGCCATGGCAATCAGAAGGGTTGCCACGGCAACCAAAAAATAATGGCTGAACTCTCACAAAAGAATCTCCCAATAAAGTTTCACAAGCTGGCCGAACGTTGTTGGGTTTTTTAAAGCTGAGAAAGAGAGGCGGCAAGGAGTGTGAGCTTCTCTGGCTCCCAAGAAGGGGAGCATGATTGGCCTGAGGCAGCAAAATATCTAGAGTGAGCACTTTGTTTAAAAAACCAGAACGTCCTCCAAAGTGCCATAACAGAGACCTTGAAGCTGGATATGCATTCACCCATCCAGTGGTACATCCATCAGGATGATCACGCACCTCCTGAAACACTCTAGAATGTTCCTGGCCAGCCAACTCAACATTTAAAAGCCAAAATCATTCATTTGAAACCATCCTCTTTCTCAAAGTCCTTTGCAACTTGGATTGCCCAAAGTCAGAGGATTTGCCTGAAAAGAGAGCAGTATTTGTCACTATTCCAAACACTTATTCATCCAGGACACATAAATGTTCAGAAATCTACTAATATAACAATGTGGCAGCTTACGAGCTCTCAGAAGTGCATGTTTATATCAACAATACTTTTATTAAAGGTGGGAAGAATGTTACGTCTATCCTGTTTATTCACCTTCTCTACACTGGAATGCTGACATGGGATTCTCTCCCCCACAAACACACCTATCTAACCCATCAAAATCCAAAGAAATCACACAAAACTCCTACTAAATGCACATCAACTTCAACAGATATGGAGAACTCTGGAGTAGCCATGCAGAGGTCAGGCACCAGAAAACAGAACTGCGATATTCTACAAAACATAACACCGTGTGTGTGTGTGTGTTACTGCTTTCTGGTTTTGTGCTCACAGACTGAACCAGAAATATAGGAAAGCAATACACAGTCACATTTTACTTGGGCATCAACATTTTATTGGATCTTTAACCCTCATCTAAAAGTGTGGAATGGTTACTTAGCATTCAAACAGGTTAACTGCCTCAAATTGAACTTTGGTGACAATCACTGATCATATTCACATTCTAACACATTGCTTTTCAGGGCCAGTTCACACCCTAGAAAGACAAGTTTGCCAACAAGCATATTCACAGCAAGGCCCACAACCAATACCAGCACCCCAACATGCCAATATTTCATATTTTTATGTTGTCGAAGGCTTTGACGGTCTGAGTTCATTAGTTGTTGTAAATTTTCCAGGCTGGATGGCCGTGGTCTTGGCATTGTAGTACCTGACGTCTTGCCAGCAGCTATGACTGGCATCCTCAGAGGTATAACACAGAAAGATGGAGTACACTCTGTGTCAATGTTGCCAATGCCAAGACCACGGCCATACAGCCTGGAAAATCTACAACAACTAATTTCATATTTTTTGCTATAATCATACTTTTCAGGTATAAACTTTCCATATACATAAAAGATAAAGCAGCCATTGGTTTTCAGGTTGCTGCTAACATTGTCCTCTGAACAACCTATCTTTATAAGACTTGGTGTTTGAAAGCCTTACAACCTCTTCCATTTCCGCAAGGGATGAACATTCCCCATATGCCATCCTTGATAGGACTATTTTTTACTCTTTAACACCCACTCAAGTCATCTGTCACATTATGTCACACTTCTAAACAGAACCTGAATTTCTTTAAACAGTCCCTCCTGTATTCTGGTTTGACTTGCAACTGTCTCAAAGTGCTAGCCAGTCACAGCAAACTTATGGCAACCCCATATGGTTTGCAAGGCAAGAGACATTTAGAGGTGGTTTGCCATTGCCTGCCTCCATGTCATGACCTTGGTATTCCTTGGAGGTCTCCCATCCAAATACTAGCCAGGCCTGACCCTGCTTAGCTTCCAAGATCCAATGAGATCGGGCTAGCCTGGACCATCCAGGTCAGGGCGCACTACTGGCTACTAGAAACTATATTACCTGTCAAGCATCTCAACTTAATTTATCCCCCAACTGACTTCTGGAATCCATTCACATGACTACATACATAAGAAGTCCTGAAGAAGAGATTGGATTTGTACCCCACCCTTCACTACCCGAAAGAGTCTCTGAGCAGCTTACAATCCCTTTCCCTTCCCACAACAGACACCCTGTGAGATAGGTGGGGCTGAGAGAGCTCTCTCTCTCTCGAGAACTGCCCTTGAGAGAACAGCCCTGAAAGAACTTATGACTGACCCAAGGTCACACCAGCGGCTGCATGTGGAAGAGTGGGGAATCAAACCCGGAATCAAGCCTGCGCTCTTAACCACTACACCAAACTGAGCATACTGGCTTCCAGTACCAGAGTCAGCTTTTGACCATCACAAATGTCCATTTTCAATCACCCCATGCAATCACTAAAGAACAGGAGTCCAGGGGATAGATACACAGAGCAGCTGCCATATACTCAGTGAGCAGAAGTGTCTAACACCGTAGTTTCTTCACATGCACATCCTCCTTTTCTACCCCAGAGCGCCAAGCAGCATGCATGAAATTACTGCTTGATGTCCTCGTAGCAGACATATTAGGCTCCAGAGACTTGGTCAAGGTTGCAAGCCAGCCTCACAGGGATGCAAACTTAGAGTCTTCAAATTCCAACATGCTATTCCATCACAGGCTCTTGGGGAGTTTCAGTTCTCCATTCTGAAGCTCAAGAGCTGGCCACCCCAAACATCTACAGGGAGTTTTGGAGAGTCAGGAGTCTGCTTCTGCACTAACTGCCTTTTACTAACACCAGCCAAAACAGTGATCACAAGCCTCACCATACTGGATGTTAAGAGATACACTAAATAATAGCAGCAGGGAGGTTCTAATGAATGGGACTCCTATTTCAAAGGGAGATAATATTTTGTGATGTTTGAAAGCTGTTAATAAAAAGTTATAACACAACTATTTGGGGGATCTCCCCCTCAACACAGGCTATTGTAGAGTCTGTACTTGTAAAAGGGCCCCAAACTAAAAGGAGGTGAAGGAGGTGATAGGTAAAAGACAGTAGAAAAGAGCCGGAGTCCAGTAGCACCTTAAAGACTAACAAAATATGTGGCAGGGCATGAGCTTTCCTGAGTCACTGCTCACTTCTTCAGATAAGAAGTATCTGAAGAAGTGAGCAGTGACTCAGGAAAGCTCACCCCCTGCCACTGTGCCACATATTTTGTTAGTCTTTAAGGTGCTACTGGGCTCTGGCTCTTTTCTACTGCTACAGGCAGACTAACACGGCTACCCATCTTGATCGATCTCCAAGGTAAGAGACAGGTGTTTTGTTTGGTTTTTTGCCAACTCTGGTCAAGAGAGGCGCCTCCTCTCTTCAGGTCCAAAGCTATAGGAAGCCAGACGGTGCTGGGAGCGACCTTCCCCGGCTGCCCGTGCACGAGGAGGTCTGGCGGCGAAGAGCGCGCCCGCGCAAACGCCCTCCCGGCCTCAACCTGCTCACCTTTGGTCACTTTTTTGGCCTCGTTGTAGCGCGTCCACAGGTAGCTCTTCATATCCGGAGGCGGAGCCGAGGGCTGCTGCGGGGCCAGCGTGCAATAGGCGCCTGCCTTCAAGCTGCAGCTGGAGCAGAGCCCGGAGGCAGGAGCAGCCCGCCGCGCACACGCCTTCCCCGCTGCCTCCAGCAGGACTCGCCCGGCGGCGGTGGCTGCCATGACCGGCGCCCGGCAGCCTCCCTCCTCCTTCCAGGAATTCCTTAGGAGCAGCGCCCGCTTCTTCGCTCTCCCGCCAGCCTGCTCGCTGCTGCTGTACCTCGCCCGCCGCCACCAACTGAAGTCACTTCCTCAGGCCACGCCTCCTCCCGGGCTCCCTCTGGAGGGGGGCTGGAGGGGGGAGGGGCCGAGCGCGTGGCTGCGCGGAAACCACGCCCACGCCTTCCCCAAAGGGCGAAAGAGTCGGAGCAGAAGCGGCGTTTACGGTTCCCGGCCCTCGGTGCCCCTCGTCATCGGGTTGCGTGAGTCTGGTTGTGAGCTATCATGTTCATAGCGCACGCCCCCTTGGTTGCAAAGGTGGAAAAGCGGTATAAGGAAACCTGGGTAAGAAGGGACACACAACGGTTTAGGCTGATGCAATCCTGTGTCAGCTTAGCTGCGAGTCAGCCCCATTGCAGAGAGGCGTCGAGTCATCTAGAATGGTGGGTTGGGACGTGCCACGGCGCTGTGAGAGTTATCCTGGCTCGTGGCTCCTGTCCCTCTTCTCCGTCATGAGACAGTCCAGGTGCAAAATTACTCCTATCTAGGCCGATTGGAGTCAGTAGGTTGTGTATAGACTTGTATAACTCTGCATAGAACTGCAGTGCTCGTCTCCTTTTAAGGAGTGAATGGGGGGGAGGGGGCTTATGGTGTCTTTGTAGTATTTGCTTCAGTCGGAAGTACATAAATAGAGCAACAGAGAAAATGATAAACTGTGGGAGGGGAGCATTGTATCAGCCGAGGCATTTTAGCCTGAAGGTAACGTGGAGGTATTATTTGAGAGCTATACCATCGTTGCAGGCTGTGTATGCAATCAGTCACCTTTCCTCAAATGCTTTCCATTCGAAAACTCAATTCTGACAAAGATTTGGAAGAAACCAACGAGTTGGAACAGGCTTTCTCTGACATGTTTCAATAGGTGGGGGGGGAAACACGACACTCCTTCAAAGCATGGCATCAGATACCTCACAGCCCAAGGTACTTCACCTACAGGTAACTGGCAGCTCTGGAGCCTACCTCTCGGGTTCACAAGTCACAAGATCATGGATCTTCCCACATCTTAAAGTTACCTTTCAAGTGTTTGAAGATCAGTTTGGGGAGGGGATGTTTTCCAGCAAGGTACCATTTTGCTTATCAAAACCACACCCAGGATAGAGTGGCCATCCATTAGAAGATCTCCTTGCTTGCAGTAACAAACTATATATGCACATGCAGAGAGATCTCAAAATGCTTTGCTGCCCCAGGCACTGAAGTGCACCTAAAGACCTCCTACATTATTTCAGAACATGCTGGGTTAAAACTGCATGCCACATTGAACACAGGAAGCCACCTTATACTGAACCAACCACAGGTCTATTCAAGGTCAGCATTGTCTACTGTGACAGGCAGGTGCTCTCCAGGGCTTTTCCATCACCTGCAACATGATCCTTTTTAAACAGAGATGCCAGGGATTGAATGTGGAGCCTTCTGCATGCAAAACAGATGCTCTACCACTAACTCCATGTGGTGTCTGGAATCTCCCAGAATTACACCTGTTCTCCAAGTGACAAGAGATCTGTTCTCCTGGAGAAAATGGCTGCCTTGGAAGTTGGTTTCTATGGCATTATACCCTGCTGTGCTGAACTCCCTCCCCTCCCAAACCCCATCACCTCCAGGCTCCACCCCCCAAAATCTCCAGGAATTTCCCAACCCAGAACGGGCAAGCCCACCACTGACCTATGATTCCTTCCCGAGTATTCTGGTTGACCGTAAACATGTTGCCTGCCCATGTTACCATTTAAGCTACTGTAAAATCCAGCCAGTTCTCCCTCTGAGAGCCAGTTTGGTGTAGTGGTTTAGAACACGGACTCTAATCTCAGAGAACCGGGTTTGATTCCCCACACCTCCACATGCAGCTGCTGGTGTGACCTTGGGTCAGTCATAAGTTCTTTCAGAGCTGTTCTTTCAAGGACGGACCTCAAGAGAGCTCTCTCAGCCCCACCTACCTCACAAGGTGTCTGTTGTGGGAAGGGGAAGGGAAAGGGATTGTAAACCACTCTGAGACACCTTCATGTAGTGAAGGACGGGATATAAATCCGATCTCCTCCTCCTCCAGATCAAAATCAGCATATTTCCACAAGAAATTGAAAACTAGAATTAATACACACACGTAGTCCGAAACATCTATCCCAAATCCCAAAGCTACACTTTTTTACAGCAAATAGCAGCTATATCATAATAGTGAGTGATATGGCAGAACAGAGGAGATGACAAGCTACACAAGGGAGATTCCTTGTTCAAATGCTTCCACAGTCTTGGGTTGGGAAGGGGAGATTTGCAGTAGCGAGCGGGAACTAGCAAGGCCTGGAACAATCCAGATGCATCATAAGAAGCAGGAGTGTGAAAGTCCCCCTTTCGTATCTTTCAACGAGCCTCAAGTGGGCGGAGAGGAGCTTGCAGTGGCAGCCAGGAATGTGCCCACAAGCCAAGTCCCTTCAGCAAGTTGCATCTCTCCCTTACAGTACTTTGTTACATGACCTACTCATTACTCAGGCTCGCCTTCTTTTCATACTTGATTTAGTGACGAGATTAAAATCACTGACCTAACTGAGCAAAACATTCCCATCTTCAAAATGTATTTCTCCTATTATAGAAATTCAGTGTTACAGACCGTGGGAAGCACTAGCCCACAATGCAAACAATCTTTCACTTTCAGTGCTGAAAAGGCCTCCTGTGGTGCCATGTACTATTCTAAGCATGAAACACGCCAACAGTTTGTAGGCTGCTAAGCGTATCTGCTTGGATCTGAGGATTGAATATAGCAGGTCCCATGTCACAATGGCCCCCCTTCCTGCAAGCACTTGTTCACCGTCTGACAGTGAGCAGGGCTTTTTTACCCCGGGTACTTATGTGCCTACAGAATTACTGCTCAGAATATTCTCTGCATTAAGACCCTGACAGCCAAACAACTTGTTACACAGAGTTCCAGGAAGAAAAGAAGCCAGGAAGAAAAGGTAGCAGGGCTTGGGGTGCTTAATCCTTCCCACAGCAACAGTTCTCTACCCATAGATTTATTTATTATTTATTTAATTTATACCCCATCCTAACCCATGAGTGGGCTCAGGGCGGCTTACAACACAAGAATCATAAAACAATAAAAGCGATAAAACAACAAAACAACAGATGGCACAATAAAGAATAACAGAAAGCGCCCTTGCCTCATGTCGATCACCCTTCCTGGTTTCGACCGCAGTCAAAAAGACACTTGGATCAAGTTCACTGGACTTATGGCATAACTCGACATCCGGCAGTGGCACAGAATGTTGAGGGCAGTGTTGAGGGCTGATGATCACAAGGTGCTTGTGGAGGGGATTTGTACATAAAAAGCAGCAAACATGGTGCTTACCCCCTGCCCTGACCCACTTTTCCTCCGCAGTTTCTTCCTGCTTCCTCCCCCCACTTGCCTATGAAATACACACACACACACAAGAGAAGCTTCAAAGCACATAACAGCTGGAAGCAGAACTATAATAAGCAAGATTTCATGGTGGGAGGAGAGACAGGTTCCAATTTCCCTTTTCTATTAATGTAGCATCACACTTGAATGGCACTTTTAAAATTCATGAGCTGATCTCAGATAACAGTGATGGTGCAGCAGTAGCTTAGGAGTTATTAAAACATCAATACCTGCTTCCTGCCCCGGGGTGAGAAGCCATTTGCAGGTGGTGGTTTTCAGTGGGAAAACAGTAAAGGTTTTGGTTTTAACCTTTAAAGCCCTATGCGGTCTTTGACCAACATATCTGTGGGGCCATCTCTCTTGTTACAGCACTCAAAGAGGTCTTCGCTTGATGAATCAAGATCTGCTGGTGATCCCCAACCCAAAGGAGGTCTGCTGAGCTTCAACCAGAGCCAGGGCTTTCTCAGCCCTGGTGCCAGCCTGGTGGAACACTCTCCCACATGAGATCCCGGCCCTGCAGGATCTAATACCATTCCACAGGGCCTGCAAAACGGAGATGTTCTGCCAGGCTTATGGCCGAGGCAGCAGACTTCTATTCACATTGGGCTCCCCCCATTCTGTTTTGCTTGTTCTTCGAGCATATTCCATCTGTCTGAGCAAGTACCATCTGTTCTACTCGTTCAAGCATTTTCCATCTGTCTGCTCCTCGCCACCTATTTTCTCATTGTGTGGGCTCCATCTATACCACATGCTGAGTCTACCAGGATGTAGACACTCCACATAGTATTATTAATTGCCATCAGATTGTAATGTTAACTGACTTTTGATTGGGGGTTTAAATGTTGTTCTATGTTTTAAGTGCTGTTCTGTTCTGCTGAACTGCAGATTGGAAGGCCGGTAGTTCGGCAGTTCGAGACCTGAGTGCCGTGTGATGGAGTGAGCTCTTGTCTCTGGCCCCAGCTCCTGCCAACCCAGCAGTTCGAAAGCAAAAAGTTGCAAGTAGATAAATAGGTAAAGCAGAAGTCAAAGGGCTCTTCTGTTTTGGATGTTAGCCTGAAGGTCAGGCTTAGAAGCTGAGCAGACGATCAACCAGCGCCGGAGAGAGACCTGTGTGACCACTGGACGTCTCCCCTCCCTTTCTTGTTTGGTTTATTGTTTTTCTCTGTGTACTATTAGCTGGTTTTGGTCCCCACTGGGGAGAAAAGCTGAATATGTTAAATTAATAAACACAACTTGTTCCAGCAAGCCACAACAAAAGAACACATGCACACTAATTCACATGATATATCCTAGTTTGATGGATACTTTCACTTCACTCTATGGCATTATACCCACTGAGGTCCCTGTCCTCCCCAGGGTCCACCCCCAAATCTCCAGAAGATTCCCAGCCTAGAGCTGGTAACCCTACCTCCCACGCCTGGTGGCCCGGGAAAACATGGCAACCCTAAGTGAGGAATGTCAACTCCAGAGTCTTTTAAACAAGACTAGATCCCTTTCAGTCTGATTTCTGGCCTTTGACTCTGCAAATGGCCGTGGTCACCTCTCTTGAGAGTCCCCTCTGGGACACAGATGGATGCGTACATCCCTGCTACTGTATTTGGACTTCTCAGCCGCCTTTGGATATCC